GTGATCATCAACCATTATCATTCTATCACGGACTAGCATTTACTTATAAAGGAAAATGTTACAACACGCTGTTGACCAAGGCTGTTTGTACAATACATTATATCTTACTATATCATGTTATTTTACATTTTTTTCCCAGAAGAATCTGAAATATGTCTTTCAGAGAAGTAAGATCTACTCGCTCGGTTTGAAGTTCAAACCCCAGGGTGGACATGCTTTTACGACTTTTCCGTTTTCAAATAAAAAGCTTGATTAAATTTTTAAAATTCTTTCCCGGAGGATCGATCTCTTCATTTACCCCTTTTAACTTTTTCGATTTAAACCGATCGAATTCACTTCAAGCAGGAGAAATTATGCTGAATATTGTATTAAGGGTTTGTGAAAAGTGGTTGAAATTTCGAACCTGCGGTCTGAAGGATGAGCCAGCCATTTGAAATGCACCGTGTGGTGTAAAAGTGTTTGTGCATTTGAGAAATTGAACTCGCTACGGTTACAGAGCTTATTATATTACATTTCTATCGTTTTGACCGACCTCTCATCAAATTATCTGAAAGCCTTACTTTCACCCTTCCGTCACGATCCTAAACAGAATACCAATGGGAGTTCTGGAGTTTTATACAACACAAACATCCTTTGAAGAAGGAAGGTGGTTTCCAATTTCAATCAAGTCGTATATGTACACATTTTGAGAAATTTACATAATTCGTAGATTTAAATGTATTTCCAATTGAAAAATTTACTGATTCCATAAAATTGGTTCAGTTTATTTTATTTTTTTAAGGTTTCTTAAGAGTTAAATCCTAAAGATATTTGGCTAAAGCAGGCATTTTATATTATAAATTTTTATGTAGTTTCCCTTATATTTTACAAATTATTAACTTTTTTAAACCGATTTCAATTCAGAACTAAAAGCAATAAATACAGGAGTGCGCCAAGGTAGCATACTATGCCCAATACTTTATTTGTTATACACCAGAGATTTTCCTAAAATGGATGGAGGGGGCATCGGTGGCTGCAACGGTTTAGGCGTTGACACGGCGCTCATCACTGTAAGGTAAAGGTCCCGGGTTCGAATCCAGCGGCCCTGCATTCGAACTCAACATACTTACAAATGTAAACATTTACCGACACACAGTGGTGACATAAGTAGGCCGAGCATCAACCATCCAAAAGCCTTCAAAAGGCATACAACATGATAAATAAATCTAAAAAAAAAATCAACATAAATCTGTATGTACAAATTTTACAAAACAGAAAATTGGACCATGTTCCGTCTTTTACCATCAAAGGATCAATTATAACACCCAGTGATTCAGCTAAATATCTAGGAATGACCTTAGATTCCTAGCTGAGATGGAAAGAACACGTGAAGACAAAAAAAGGACAGAAATAGGTTTAAGGTTCAATTATACTGGTTGAAATAACACAGCTCCAGCGTTACTATAATATAATTTATTAATGATGCCTTTGTGACATGTTGGTATGTCCACATATGTGTATGGAATGGTAACATATGGTATTCAACTATGGGGGTTGGTACTAAACATAGCAATATCAAAATTATACAACCACACCAAAATAAAATGGTCAATACACCATGGTATGTAAGGATAACTTATATAGGTCATGGTAGAAATACAAACATTTGGTGCCAAACATCAGTCTTGCCTCAGCCAGTATGACAAGCGACCAAACTACATTAAAAACCGAAACAGCATTAGAAGGTTGAAAAGAACAAAGGATTTGTATTATTGTAGTTAATTTGGTTTTTTAAAGTTAATTTTGTGAATAGTGAAGTGTAAGTGTGTCTAGCAAGACCGGTTTTAATAAATACAAAAGAAAAAATCTAAGTAAATACTTGGATTGGTTGGAAAGGAGTAAAATTTTGCATCGCTCAATTTTAAAGACTATTGTGTGACGCATATTCTGTCTCCTTATAAGATTCATATTTTATTTTTGATCAATGGGTCAAAAGAATCCTTATACAGAGAAAGAGAGATCTTTCAAATCCAAGGTTGATGAAAATACTTATATAAGTCAGTCCGTGTGCACATAGTCTTGCTTCACCGGTCTGCGAGCCTCCGCTGTCACAATGAGAACAGGTAAATAATCAATCAGGATGAGATTGCAGAAATCAAAATTTATTTACCTACACTTCATAAATTATTAACTGAGTAAATATTTTCTTTTTAAGAGTGACAAGATAATCAGAAATGGTTTCAGCTGACAATCGCTGGTGAAGTGTCGTTAGAAATAATGTTACTACTACTTAACTTAACCCTGTTAGGCTGACTGATGAAATAAGTCATACTTGGCTTAGTATTTATTACAAAAGTTAAATTATTACATATAAAAACCTTAATCTGTCTGTTGTTAGATGTGGGAAATTTTATATGAAGAAGCCTACATAATCATCAAGAATGGTATAAACAAAGTTGCCCACTTTTAACAATATGACCAATCTTTTTAATTAAGATCTTGCTAAATATTTTGAAATTTTATCATTTCCACCACAAATACAACAAAAATATGAAAACACTAGAACTTTTGCACAAGTTTTTTAATTTAAAATGCCCGATAGTTGCAGTTTTTCCTATAAATTGTAGGAAAAAAAGACTTTATTGACCATTTTCATTATGATCATGGTACATTTTCAATACATGACAATAATGGATCATTTGTCTTTCTAAGAACAATTTTGCCAAACTTTCGACACATTTTATTGCCGTCTCAGCAGGCTCCAGTATTCAAGAATGTACTTATTTTCAATGTAAATTTATGCTATACAGATAATAATAAATAAAATATACATAACAGCAGAAATTTAGCATCACATTGTGAACCATCAAGTGAAAGAAGTGAACTCACACTGTTTAAAAGTATATCACATCCTGGAAAAATTATTTAAATTGAAATTGTTTTCAACACAAAAACGTGGACACTGGCATATCATGTCATATACAAAAATAAAATTTAGAGACTACAAATAAAACTTAAAGCTAAGAAACCAATTGAAACCATTCACTGTGGTTTACGATGTTGCATGTGTCACCACTCTTATCTAAACAGTGCTTGAACAAACATATGGACCAACACAGGTCAGATCGCACCAAATCAGGCAAAACCGGTACTGCCTTGTTTGCATACACAAGGACTACAGGATATTTTTCAACTTAGAGACCCCAAAAATCCTGTAAATACAATAGAATTCAACCATGAGTAATGTTTATTAAAGGAAAAGTTCCAAATCCCTCTGACAGAGGAAACTAGGTTACGAAAAATGTATCAACTAGGTTCTACTGGATTATTTCAACTAATCCACGTTTTAAACTTGATGAATGGCTCAAATAAAAATATTTTCCTTTGCAATACGGGTTTTCACACCATTTGTTTCAAGAGTGCCACCTTCCCCATAATTATTAGAACATCCAGGTGTTTTTCTTTTTTTTTCCATCCTATTCCACCCATTGGATCAAGGTGTCAATACTTTACAATACCAATGTCCATTTCCAAATTAATCTAAAATAAAATTCTCAACTTCTACCTGGATATGAACGCAAAACCGATAGCATAGCAAATACAGACCTCATGTCCTAACCACTTGGTCACATTTGAAAAAATGTCAAAAAACAATTACAGACAGAAAGTATGAGGCATTGAGTACAAATTTGTAAAATATTCGTTTTTCTTAAAATGTGTGAAATAAAAACAGTTTTTGTACATTTTGTGCACACACATTTTATCTTAACCCAACCCTGTTAGGTTGACAAAATTATATTTGACTTAGTATTAAAAAGTGATAAAACATTCAATAAATCTGTCATAATATCTATCAACACTAGTCAGATTCATTGTTTTTAATGTGTACTTTTAAATTCGGGGTACCCAGAAACATAGGTCTAAAGCTAATGGCTAAGGCCAGGACATCCCAATTTCCTTAGCCACCACAGTCCACAAAACGTGATTAAAATAAAGTGGCAGAGTCAGCATACATATCAGCAGTTAAGATCTCATGTATCAAGAGCACTGTCCACAGGTGGCCCTCAGAGGATCTGACTTGAAGAAGGGGCATCCTCACCTGATTAAGGAAACGCTAGTTTCTTAACAGGACACTTACTTTCGGACCAAAACCCATGTATGTGTCCAGAAAGGTTGCTCGATATATCTACCTAATTGAAGGGTGCAAATCCTGGTGTAGGAATGCCACCCGATATGAAAATTATGCTAAAGCGCAGTAGCGTGTGGGGTACAAACAAGTACTAGACATTTCTAATAGCCTCTAATAGCCAACTCCAACTTTCCACCTTCACAAAGCTTACACAAGTGAAACCCTGTTAATTAAACGGATAGAAAGACAGGTATGGAGGAACATGAGCTGGACTTGTCATCATCCCAACACCCTACATCTTACCGCTCTTCTTACCACAAAACCAATCCTAATCTCACTTTCCAGCCCCTAGGCATCATGTGACCTGTACCAATAGATGGATGGTAGTTGTACTAATAATGGAGCCTCACGAGTACCAGGTGACCCCCTTGAGTAATCATCCTAACACCAGAGAGAGGGCCCCTCCAGAGCGAACCTTAACCACATGGATGTGATGCCTATTTTTTTCTTCTAAATAACACTTTTTTTTATTATAAAGATTTTTTATATGTATTTTAAATGTGTGAACCTCTTAAATTAGCATTGATTTTGGCATGTTTTAAACCAATGAAGTGTTTTCTGATATAAAAAAAAGAGTTAGTGTGTATAAAAAAAATACTTATTTTCTTTCTTTGCTTTATTCTTAATAAAATGTTATAAAAAACATTTTGAATCAAACTTGTTTAAAATGATACAAATAAGTTAGGTAAAATACAATCAATAAATGTACAATGTTTTTCACAGTGCTGCAAAACACAGATAAAAGAAAATATCGTCATGGGTTCTAATCAGATTATATGTATTGTTTAAGAAGAAAACAATTAGTATTAAAAACAAATACATGGGCAAGATATCAGCGTATAAAATTATATACATATATTAAATTGTCATTTTATGACATTTCTAGTTATTTCTTGAAGTCGGATAACAGAAGCTTGAATGCGGCTTAAAATGGAGTAAACCCTCGAGTCTTCAGAGTCAGGGAAATACCTGAAAATAATCATTAATGAAATATTCGTCGATTGAGAGATGGCATCAGTGATCAAGTCAGTAAGCCTTACTTCATAAGCACATCAGAATCTTCTTTAATTCCTTGCACATGCCTCTTAACGAGCATTCTTCTCCATTCAATCGGGTCTAAAAACCCATGCCCTAGAAATTTGTATGAGTAAAGCATTGCTGAGTATGAATATGCAGAGGTTGGGTAAGAGCAATTTTTTACTTGTCTTCTTGGTCCCTAGGCGGAGGGCTCGGTCCGCCTCGACCGACTCTTCAATGTCTAACAATGTTTTTGGAACGTCATTTTCCCTTTCGTAGTAATCTCCAAAATCAACTTCCCACGGTATATCGACGTCAAAGTTCTTTTGCCAGGATGACTCTTTCTAAGTATTACAAAAATAATTAAGTCAGATAAATGAAATATAATGCAAGGATGATATAAAACCATTAAAATGGAATCCATTACAGTTCGTGGTCCGATTGACCAATTAACATTTTTCAATTAATTAATATTTATGAAAGGTATGGTCGATATAAAAAAGTCAGTGTCTCGAGTGGGATACAAATCCACGATCTTCGGCTGAATACGCCGCTGCTCTACTATTTGAGCTATCGTGACTTCAATCCGCTCGGACACTAACTTCCCATCTCGACCCCCTTTTGAATTTTCCCTCCTTTATAGTGTAATCTATTTGATTCTCAGCAACAAATGAAATGGCCACGGAGAGCTTTCATGAAGATCTACTTCAGTTTAATTATTAACTCCATTACAGTTCGTGGTCTGATTGGCCAATTAACATTTTTCAATTAATTAATATTTATGAAAGGTATTGGTCGAGATAAAAATGGCAAAAAAGGAGGGAAAATTCGAGGATTAATCTAATTTCAATTAAATTCAATGAGAAAACTGATTTGAGATACGAGCATGTTGAACTCGTAACACTGTATTATTAATTAGTTAATATTAAAATAATAATGTTTTGGTTCAAAAAAATAGATTCATGTGTTTGAAATTGTTGACCTATAAAGTAACATGCCTTTCTAATTCAATTTCACCATTTTATAAAATATTTCATAAATTAGATTAAAACACTTGCTGTTTAAACAAATGGGGACTAAAATAAGCAAAGAGGTTTCACTCACTTCAACTTTGTCGACCCAGTCATGAAATTGTCCGTGGTGTAGGGTGGCTTTGGCGCTCAGTAAAAGGTGTTTAATTTCTACTGAACTGTTCTCCAATATTTTAAAATCCTACAGGAATTTAAAAATTATTAATCATTCTCATAAATTAGAGAAAAAAATTGGCAACTTACATATGGTATACGATATAATTCAGCAAAGTGTCTTGCCTTCCGAGTCAGGTGCTGTAGATGGTGTGGAAATGAAATGTTCATTAAGAATTCGTATGCATCGACATCTTTTTTGATAAGTGCTTTTTCTAGCAATTCCTTAAAAAAATTATTATCAATTAAAATAACTGGATTTTCAATTCTGATTGATCGCTCACCTTTTGGTTCTTGAAACTTATTTTCTCCTCGAGAATTAGTTTCATGATATCTTCTAATTTGCAGACTCGCTCATTGAGCATCTCGATTTTTTTCACTTTTTTCTGTAGTCTCTGTCCGTTGATGTTCTGAAATAAAATTCCATAAGTATCAGGCAAAGTAACAAGAATGGTGTAATTTATAGAAGAAAGAATATACCAAATCTCTCTTTAGCTTGGCATTCTCTGACAAGGCTGTTTTGTAATCTTGTGAAGAAGATCCATCCAGGCATTGTTTCTCCCTAAACCAAAATAATTATCTAATTAGCTAAGGCTCAAAATCAATAAACATTTTCAACATACATAGCCTTCGCCAATGTGAGCTTTTCTTCCATTACCACCTGCTGGGTATGCTGTGAGGTTTTTAGTTGTGCCTCGAGCGATGAAATTTGGGCAGTCATTATTTCTAAGTCTTCTAAAAGAACACCATTTTTAATCAAAGGCCAGTGAAATAAATAAATTATTCTTAAATTGTGTCTTAGGATATTTTTTGAAATTCAACCCACACCAGATCTTAAAAAGTCAAACCAAAACAACAACTGAACGATTCAGTCTTATGATCTTTATGTCCAGGGTGTGATAAGCCAAATAATGTAACAACAAATCTTGCACAATTAAAATTTTATTTTAACGAAAAACACAAACATAACATAACTTTTAAAATTAGCAAACACCAAATAGAAGACTTTGTTAGTATTGTTAGCCATTAGTATTGTTTAGAGCCAACATACAGCGAAAGACCAAATTTGCCAAACCAAAATCAAAAAATATGAACATCCTTAAACACAAAATGTCTGACACTGGCATAAATTTCCAAGAAGTGTTCTGAGACTACACAACTTATAACCAAAAATTTAATTTTTTTACTATTTTTAATACAAACATAAATAAATGAAAGACTGAAAGGGAAAAAATCCAAAACATTTACATTCGCTAGCAGAACCTGCTTACAAATCCAAACTAATAACAAAAACTCAACATTAAATGTTGAAATGTAATTTTTCACTCTAAAAATTAATGGAAAAAACGTTATTATTGTGAAAATCTTACTTCTGTAACTTGGTTAATAAATTAAAAACTTAACAATTTGTTAGTGCTTATAATATATTAGTTAATGGTGCATATGAATTAAAAACAACAGAAACAAAGCCACTTACTTTGCAAATTGTCGCAAATGTCTTCATTGCCTTTCAGCTTTAAATAAGCTTCATCTCGCTCTTTTTCAAACTTCAATTTTTCACTTTCTTCATTCAGTAGCTTTTTTTCAAGGATACGGATTTGACTTTGCATAATTTCCTGTGAAGCCTCCAGATTTTTTATAAGCTCACATTCAGTGGCCTTGTCACTAATTTTGAGCCTCTTGATTTCGTTTTCCTTTGCCTCGAGATCCGTTTCCAACTTGGTCAAACTTTTCTTTAAAACATTCAGCTCATGAGCAAGAAGTTTACATTCATCTGTGGTTAGATTCACCTTCTCTTCCAACGCCTTCTTTTCTACTTTCTTCGCATCAAGGTCTGAGGATAGCTGAGAATTTTTTTCAATAGTTTTTTCCAACTCTTTTTGAAGCTTGCTGTTTTCTGCTGTTATCTTGGCATTTTTCTCTTGTGCTGATATTAATTCATTTTCAATTTTCTTTAGCTGCTTTTTCAAGCTCGAGGACGATTGTTTCAAGTTTGAAACTTCACCTTCAAGAAGGGAAGCAGTTTCAAACTTTTCTTTTAACAATTCATACTCTGACTTTAGTTTATTATTTTCAGCGATTCCATTTTCCAACACATCAACATGTTGAGAATTGATGCTTTTCAATGTGTCCAATTCCAGTTTGAGGTCTGCATGTTCGTCCGCCATTTTTTTTATTTCTTCATTCAATGTTTGCTTTTCTACAACTTCAAACTCTAATTTTGCGAGAAGGTCATTGCTAATCTTTGAATATTCCTGTAATTTACAATCCAGATTATCTCTTTCCAAATGTAATTTGTCATTTTTTTCATGCAAAGATTCCAATTCTACCTCAACATTTTTTAGTTGTTTTTGTAACTTTGAATTTGTATGTTTCATGTTTTTAACTTCAGTTTCCAACTGATTTGTCATTATAAGTTTCCCTTTGAATTTTTCCAACTCTGATCTCAACTGTGAAATTTCAGAGTTTTTACTTTTCAGTTCTGAGATGACATGCGCATGATCAGCTTTGAGGATGGTTAATTCGTTTATCAGTGCCGTGTGTTCATCCAACACTTTGATTTTGTCATCTTCTAACAATTTATTTTTATTTTCTAAAGCCTCACATTTTAAAGTCAAAGCTTCATTGTTCTCAATGCAAGTTTTTAATCTATCCATCATATCTGTTTGCTCATTTACCAATTGATTATTTATATCATGCAATTGCTCTAGTTCAGATTCTACAACTTTTAGTTTACTTTTTAACGATGCAGCTGCCTCATCAGCATTTTTCAATTTCTCTTCTAGCTCGGTATATTTTGTTATTAACACATCTTTCTCAGATTTCTGTGTTTCTACAAGCTGGACTGCTTGTTTACGTTCCTCTTTAACTAAGTCGCACTCGTTTTTCAAAGTGTTGTAGTCATTCAACAGTTTTCGCATCTCATCTTCTGCAGAAGAAAGAAAGAGTCTTTTTTCTAATTTTTCTGACTCGACTTTTTCGGCCAAGGTCGTATAATTATCTAAATATTCTTTCGCTTTATTTTCTATTTCACCTTTTTCAGTGTCTAAAATTTTAATTTTTTCCGCCAACTCGAGTTTTTCCGTTTCGTGATTTTTAATTAGCACAGCACAATCATTCAACTGTTTTGATGTCTCCTCGAGCAATTTCTTTGAGTGTTCTAATTCCTCCTTAGTTTTCAGCAGTTTTGATTCAATGCTCTTCAACTCGTTATCGTGCTGGGGTGTCACTATAATCGATTGTGAGCGTTCAAATTCATTCTGTATTTCCTTCAGCCGTTCAACTTCTGCTTTCAATTCCCTGTAAATCCATAAGGTAAATGTTGTAGTGTATCTCTAGCCTATCTATTACCTATAGCGAAAATCTGATTACCTTATAATTTTATCTTGAGGTGCTTCATTAATCCGGACGGTGTTCACGATTGACCTCGCCTGGCTGGCATACCTAAGAGTTGCGAGGGACTCTTCAATGTGCGAACTACATGGGCTGATTGTAGCAAGCATAGTCGTACGGGAATTACCTCCAAGACTGTCCTGAAATAATTTTCTTTCCTTAATTTTAAAATCATAAAATAACCTTTTTTTAACATCATAAAATGATGTGAATTTTTTCCAGGAGTATGCAATAATATCATGTCATAAAGAAAGTATGTATGATGAGTGCACCCTCAATTGGACAAGTTTTGTTTGTAGCTTAATCATCTTTAATCATACTGCTAAGTTATTTAGGCTGATTCTGACTTTAAAATCTGATCTAATAATTTACAATAAGTGTTTTTTTTTACAAACCCTCCACTGAATATGGTGAAACGCCAAAATATTTCTGACAAACCATAAAAGTTAAGAACTTCAAAGTGCAAGTTTAATATCTCGTAGATTTAAAGAAGACACCTCACAACATTTTTAACTTTTTTTTTTATCACTGACACACTTCATTAAGCGCTGGTGATCTGCATGAAGGCCACATTAGCTCAATTCACAGGATGGATGACTTGCATCGTGTCATAAAGTTTAACTTTTCTAGGAATAGGAAATTTTGCTGTAAAGGAGGAGGGAAATTTAATTGCCTGGCCGCACTGAATGTGTTAATTATAACTAAGAAGTAAAGTAATCAAACAATTTCTCCTGTAAATGTGAATATGTGTTGGAATTTAAAATGTGGACAAAAAAATAAAATTCTTTATTTACATTTCATTCTCACTATTTTCTCCAAACCTCACCAATTGTTTTTCCTCTTGGAATTATTTTCAACACCGACATTAACATTAATAACGGACATGAACATCAATAAAACAAATTTGGACAAATATCCTGTATTTTATTACAAAAGTAGATATGTTGCAGTTAGTTTGGAAAAAACATACGAGAGCATCGGATGTGGGAGAAGACCAAACTACCTGATATGCTGGTAGCAATGAATTATTACATGATTATTGCATTATTGCGTAATTAGTTTGATCAATTCAAAATCATAAAAAGTTTCCAAAATCCAAGAACATAGACAGTAAACATGCATTATATAAACCACAGGTCAACAAATAAACCTTACCTAAAACTTGGAAGAAACAAGTGTCTTCTAATCTACATAGTTCCCAGGTGCTACTTTGGGCATTGCCGCCTCCTTTAACCTTATTTAATTGTGTATTAGTTGTGTACAGTCAATGTTTAGTTGCAAATGTCTTGAGAAATTGAATGTATTTATTAGTGCGAATGTACAACTGATTGTGGAATACTCATCGACTCTGAATAAAGGTGGCCCCAGATGTGTGGTATTCGCTGAGTGCCGATTGCTGCCAAACATCAGACTACAGAAATAACATTATTTTGATCTTCATTAATACATCTACACTAGTTAGGAATTGTTTTTTTATTGAAAAGTAAATAACAGTGTTGATTGATGATTACAGTTGATTTCCGAGTGTGAGGATGCTTTGAGTTCGGCTACTTCACAAATAGTTTTACACTTTGAAGCAAAGATACCGAAAATTAGTTGACCAAGGTGAGCACTCATCCCCACTGGTCGATTCGGTGAATATTTGCCATGTCTCAAGATGCTAGTCTTGGCATTCACCAAATAGTGACCTAGACACACATGTGGGGTTTGTACAACCACCAAGCTTGTTCCAGAAACAGTGAATATTCGCCAAATGCCGATGAGTCCTCAACTTACTACCAATCGTGATGGACAACAGTGAAGCTGTGATTACTGTTTTGTGTAGTGGCTACAAACTCAGTCACAGAGTACTGTTGCCCTATCTTACTTTCGATCTGTTTCTATGCATTGAAACTCTTTCTAATTTTCGTGTTTCAGAAGAGAAACGTCCCAAATTATTGGTTTAGCTCAATTGAGGAACTCCAAGTATGTTTACTTTCGATTTATTTCCAGTATCGAAAACCTCATTCCAATTTTTGTAATTTGGAAAAGAAGTGTACCAAATTTTTGGTCCGAATCGAAGAACTCTAAGACTGTTAAGTTGGACCAACAGAAATAAAGCTATGTTTTTCTTTCATTAGTAAGTCTATACAAGTTAGGAATCATTTATTAATGAAAAATAAATAGCAGTAAATAGAAGTATATTCTTTCGATCCATTTCCAGGCATCAACAACCTCATTCCGATTTTTGGTTCAGATTGAGGAACAACAAGACTCTAAAGTTGGGACTACAGAAATAACATTATTTTGATCTTCATTAATACATCTACACTAGTTAGGATTCGCTTATTATTATTACAAAAAAAAAATAATAATAACAAAAATAGCAGTAAAGATAGTAAATAATAACTGTTGATTGACGATTACATTTGCTTCCCAATGTGGGGATGCTTTGTGTTCAGCTACTTCACGAATATTCGTGCACTTTGAAGACAAGAAAACCAACAATTAGCCGAGCAAGGTGAGCACCGAATATGGCTGCAAATAACCGAGCACCCATCCCCTCTAGTCGGGATTCGGCGAATCCTGCATGCCTAGAGCCACCTTAAGATTAGTAGTTTTTGTAAAGAGTATTGGGGAAATATCAAATACTTTAAAGTATGAAGTATGTATGTAACAAATAAAAAGAATGAGTGCTGAAATGATTTTATGATAGTCTGGTGCCTAATTTAGGTGGACAGGGTGATATGACCAAATTCTGCCGTTTTAACGAAGTAGCAGTGAGAGGCATAATTCCAATCAACCCTCTAACTTTAACTAGGGTGAATATTTCCCATTATACACAAAGGCTTATAACAATAATAATATTTATTTATTATGATGTTGGTTGATTCTATGTAGGGTCCAATCTTCATAGAGGTCATTAGACAGGGGGAAAAAGACTAAATGCTGGATTCACTGAGCTTTTGACACGTTATAGTGCCATCATCAGGGCTTTCCTGAGGATGAAGAAACAACTAATATGAAAAACTACTGTGCAAGTGTTTTGGGTTTAAAGCTACGGAGTACATGGCGAGCATAATACATTTTGATGGTGAAACAGTCATCTTGCTAAAAATCCATATAACTAAAGGTCCAACTATTTTTTTTTTCTGACGCAATTTCTTTCAGGTGCTTTTGTGATCACAAAGAATATTTACAAAAATTGTTTTTTTATTTTTATTTTTTTTAAACTAAATTACAGCTATTTACATTAACTATGTATAAATAGCATGTGACCTAGTTTTTTCATCTCAACCAAGATGTTAGATAAAAAGTATAATAAATAAAATAAATAATAAAAAAATAAATCAGTAATCAGTAAAAATTAACAACTCTCAAAAAGGTACATGTGTATGTAAAAAATGGGAGGCTGCTGTCTTAAAGTAACATAAATAATAAAGTATGTTTCCAGATTACATGCACTGATTTAGCACGTTTCATGATCCAACAACTAAAACAAATTGAATTTTAAAGATTTTCTTGCCATTAATTAATCATGTTGCACATTTTTAATTACAACGGGACTAATTAAAAATAAATAAAATCACATTGAAGACACGTTAGCTCAAGTGATTAGATAAGCGTCTTATGGGGCGAAGGTCATGGGTTCGAATACCGCTCGTGACACTAGTTTTTTCATCTCAACCAAGACCTAGATAAAAAGTATAATTAAAAATAATAAATAATAAAATAATTAATCAATAATCAATAAAAAAATAATAACGGTCATAAAGTAATGTTTCGATTGTTTGCACGGATTTAGTAGTTTTTTATGATCTAACCACTAAAGCAAATTCAATTTTAAAGATTTTTTCGCCATTAATTAATCGTGATGCGCGTTTTTAATTACAATGGGATTAATAAAAATGAATAAAACAAACTTAATGTATCACTGTGCATAAGAGTTATTTTTCAAGGAAAAACTGAAATCTGAAGCTCGCGCCCGTTGACGGGTAAAAAATAACAAAATTTTTTAAACATTAATATGCAAATTTACAAAGGATAATTTTATAGAATTATTTAATATGTGCGTGCACAAATGTTCACATAAATTCCTGCCAGCGCCCGGATGCCTTTTCTATGGAATTTCAGTAGGCTATTTGAATGATTTCCGGGCGGACGAGACGTTTTCTGTTTACTCGATTTTACAAACCTAATTAAATTTCGTAATTAATACAATTCATGATTCCAACGTCGCAGATGTGGTGTGATAAGCGGTTTAGAAATAATAATTATTTGCCTTATTTATCATACCGTCCGATATGTTATTTCTACGTGATGCACGATTGAGTATGAAATTGTTCGTTTTTTTTCAGTTCTATCTACTTGAAAACAAAAATATTTTTTGTACACTGATAATGTTTTTATACTGATATATTATTATCTAAAATATATGGTATGAATACTGACATGATTTTTTTTAACTTTCAAAAGGCATACAATCAATAGTGTGACAATAAAAATAAATTTAATAAATCAAAAACAAAAGACCATAATTATTTTTAAGACTTAAATTATGCGCGATGCACACTCGTTCGAAAAAGTTCGTCAGGTGTTTCTACACGCAAATGCAACAAAAAGTTCGTGTGAACCATGATTTTTTGGTTTAAAAAAATCTTTAAAAAAACTGCTAAATTTAAATTTTGTAAAAAAATAAATTTGCAACCTTGTTGGAAAAATTCACGTTAAAGCTTGGCAAATTTTATAAAAACTTCTTCGTTTAATAAGCTTTCTAGTTTTTAGAGGTTCTAGCACAAAAAGAAAGAAAAATGAAACAAACACATTAAAAAGAGACAATAGGCATAGCGAACAAGCAAAGCAAAAAATTGGAAAAATATCTACACCAAACACACACAAAAAAAGAACAATAATTCAGAATTGTAACACCAAACCTTATTTAATAAAAAAACACAAAAAATTAATTAAAACCAAACAAAAACATCAAAATAACAATAAACATAGCGAACAACTAAAGCAAAATTTGTCTCTTTTTTATTAGGTTAATTAAAGATGGGTTGTGTATTGTTCGTTTTTTGTTTTGTCTGTGTTTAGATATTTTGACCAATTTTTCTGCATTGGTTGTTCGCTATTTTTATTGTTTATTGTTTGAGTTATTTTTTTGGGAGCTTTTTTTTTATTAAGTTAAAGTTGGGAAATCAATTTTGCCCAGGACAAAAAGTTGAATTACTAGCGTTAACCCGCCTCTCCTTTTCACACTGTCACCAATTTTTTTCCCAGTTCGCGTAAAATTTCTGCATTTTGGTTCTATGATTAAAGAAAAGGGTACACCGTTCGAAAGATTATTAAACTAAAAGGTAGTTATGAAATTTGCCAAGCTGTACAGTTAAATTTTTCCAATGAGATTGCAAATTTAGTTTTTTGAACAAATTTAAAAGCAGTTTCTGAAAGAATTTTTTTAAGCAAAATTAAATTTAATGTTCTAGAAGATCCCTTCTTAAAGAAAATTGCTTTTTTTATTCCCCAAAAATGAAGTTCAAGAGCTACGAGCAGATTTTGACAAAAACCGTGGATAGTTGAAAAAACATAAAATGCTGAAAATTGGGGAAGTTGTGACAATCAGACCATGGTTCACACGAACTTTTTTGTGGCATTTGAGGTGTAGAAGCACCTGACGAACTTCGTCGCAATTATAGTGAATCACCCTATTTTACAATTGCAACAGGGCGTGGTTCGGCAATTTTTGTCATTTTTCCATTACAGATATAAATTGCAAAATTTCTGTAAACAACGATTATCTTATTTTTGCGTTTATACGCGTTGAAAAAATTGTTTATAAAAACATCTCAGAAAGATACTGCGCTCATCATTCAATAAAACCGCAATCCCTGAAAATATCCCAATATCTACGCAAAAAAAGAAGACTAAAATGGATTGATGTTATCTAATCTACTCAAAATGTTTTTTGTGGATCAGAATTATTTATAAACTAGTATTTCCTTTATATTTACAGCTTATCCAACTGCCTATATCAAAGTTTAAACGCGTTGCTCATTATAAATGTGACAGAAATACAAATATTTTCTTCACGCGACACGATAAAAAATTTAAAATGTAAATAATTAACGTTGATTAAAACTATACAAAGTAGGTTGTTGATTGCATATTTTTGTGTCGTACGTATTCAATTAAACTCGGAAATACAAATGACAAGAAAACAGCTGCAAGTTTCAAGTGAATTTGGTACCCTCATCAAGAAGATAAGAATACTTAAGCAATATTTTTTTATAGAAATTTTATAACATGCTACATTGAATTGTATTTACTGAAACAGGTCATTCGAAAACTACAATTTTTCCATAACACTCGAAAACAATTAGATACCGTTATTAAATTTGCACAGATCTTATACAAGATAAAATAAATTATTGTTTCAAACTTTTGAGAAATTTACTGGCTTAAGAAAAATTGGCCCCATGTGTAGTATGGGAGTGCATCAGGGTAACAAACTAGGCCCACTGTTGTTTCTGCTCTATGTTAACTTCCTGCCAGCCTACGTTAGGGCCCCTGTGAATGCTTCATAACTAATTACGCTGATGACTACAACTTCGTAGTACGTTGTATTTGCGTAGTTCATTATTACTACGCTTCTTTTACGTTGAACTGTTGAAATACTTCATGCGGCCTAACAATCAAACCGTAGCATAAAAATTCCCTCTTCCCCTAATGTTTTGGGTATGCAATTGGATATTTTGGATAGCATGAGGTTTTTGGGTGTTGAACTGCACTTTAACCTATGTTTTGACTGTCAAATCAGTTTACACCAGTCTCGACTCAACTGCTAACGGCTTATTACGCCCTTCTTATGTTACAGGTAGTGATAGGGATAAAAGAGGCGGCCACAAGGCCTACTGCACCTCGACTTAAATAGATATATTGTGCTCCTCTGTCGTTTATAACTTACTGGTCAGCTTCCTTGGTGTAGGATCTTGCTTGTGGTTTTTCTTGTCCTAGTTGCAAGATCCTGCACCTACATAGACCTTCACAGAAACATAAAATGTGTTCTGCGTTCTCCTCTTCCTAGCAGTATATGCACAGCGTTTCTTCTGTCTGTACTCCTGCATGTACTTTCTTAAGTGGCAGTGCCCTGTCAGAAGTCCAACCAGAATCCTGGTTCGATTGCGGTTGCCTTCCAGTAATTCTTTGTAAGCTTTGCAGAAGGTCCTTCTATGAATCTCTTCGCGTGCTTCATACCTGTGGTATTGTTCCACCAGGTTTTGGATTCATTAAGGTTTAAGATGTATCCTCTTTTGTGGCAGGCTGCTAGACCGTAGTAGGGTTCTGGGCCCATGTTCTGGCTCCCTTTTTGGTCAACATGTCAACCTTTTCGTTGCCCCTATGCCCCGAATGTCCAGGGACCCTATGTTATATGTAAGATTGACATTGATTCTGGAGCAGTGGTGTAGGCATGCTATAAGTTTTCCCTATTTTATAATAGCCTGAAAGTAATTCTTGGGTTGGGATATAGAGACTTCAAAGTTTAAGATGTAATATTCGAAGTGTGCATTATTCTGCGCCCTTTGAGAGCTATTGTAGCCCTCGTTCTGGACCTATAGAACACCGATGAGTCTTAGTTCATAAAGAAATTTGCTTAGCAGGCCCAGTTTCAATTGAATTTCTAGGTTATGTTATACATCCCAAAACACTTCCACTTGCGGACATAACGCCACAATATTATATGTACATTGGTGTCACCTCTGCTTCCTTTATAAATCTGCACATATCGTGTATAACAATCTTGCTAAAATCCCATTCAGTCCATAGAGCCCTGTTAAAGATCCTTAAAATTCCAAGTTTTTCCTGCTTTCTTTGGTGCATTCTCTTGTTTCCTTCCTTCCGAAACACGCTTGCTGGTTCTTGGATTGTCTGTGTCCTCTGAGTGAATTCCACTTTTCCTCATTTTCATATGTCTTTTTATCTAAGAAGCTCAATGATAAGTGTGAATCTCTATGACACAGAAGGGCTCAGAGCCTGTTAACGGTATAGCAGCCCTTTTGCATACGGGTGTCCGCTTTCTCGTTTCCCTCTACTTCTATATGTTCTGGGACCCCATAGAGTAACTTTATTTTGTATACCAATTCATTTAAATTGATTTTGCAATTCAGCACTATCTTTGAGCTAATAATGGTTGAGCTTAGTTATCTGGGGTGCCTGGTAATTTGACATGATCACTTCGTTTTTTACTCATCGTTCAGGTTGAAAGTACATCTCCTTACTGCCTCGACTTCAGGCTGGAAGATATTGGCATACTTCCCCCTGGTAACCATGGGTTCTGAGTTTGGGTTATTTCCAGGGAAAGAACTCTACTATCCCCGTACTTTCTTGTGTTCTAGATCAATTAGTGTACCAAATGGTGCTGTTCTCAAGGGACTGGTCTTTCTCCTTTTTTTAACTCTTGTTAAAACCTAGTTCTACTCGGTAACTTTGATTAAATTCAAACATCCTGTTCTTGTCATCCTTAAGGGCCACTCAAAGTTTTAACAGCTCACTATAATTACGGTTCCTGGATGTTTTCTCATATAAACGATGAACAATTGCTGTGAGCCAATTTTAATTATTTTCGAAACCAGTCACGATCTCTCGATTTGTTATGAACCGCAATACACGAAATAATTCATTTCTCTCGGGTGGAATTGAGTCATGCGGCAGATAAGGTCGAAATTGCGCGGATAAAATAAGTCAGTAAACACTTCAGGCGGATCAACAATAGGAAAAGAAAATTTGAGCCTAAATTTACGAGAATACAAATCCTATGTATTTCAATTTGATCGGCAAAGGTATAAAAATCCTTTACGATTTTTAATAAGCGCTTTACAACTAGGACAGGTATGGGTGGAGTGCTGGAAAATGGCATACTGAACAGTTGAATTTTGGTCTTTCATAAAGCGAGGTCTCCACTAGCATTAAATGTTAAGCAAGTTGACTTCCGCAAGCGACTTTTGACGCATAAACACTCGCGCAAGTCAAATTCTGCAAGCTTCAGTGAATTCAGTGACCAAGCCCTTGCTTGTTTATTATGCGATAGCAATAAAGTTGAAATTGTTTCAAGTTTTCGACATGAATGAGGAAAAAGTGCAGTGGCGTGAAGAAATAATTAAGGCTATTTCGTTATATGAACATTATCCCGAATTATAGGATACAAAATGGAAGAATTTTAAAAACAAAGTTAAGAAAAATGCTTCATTGCACTCTAACAAATGAATTTCACACAATAGAACTGGCCAGAAAATTACATAATTTAAAAGCCCAACATGGACAAGACCTTATAATCAGTCTCTTACCAATTTTTGGATATTTCTTTTTTTAAATTATTAATAATAAATTAATAGCAGCATCTGCACGTATTTGACATCTTGAGCTAGTGAATAATACTGCGGACTTCCGCTTACTTGCAAAACTAACTTGCGCTAGAAAAATTATAAACAGCGTAAACAGGAATGGAAATACATGCAGAAAAATTGCGCAAGAATTATTGCTTGTGTATACTGCACTTAAAGGCATCACTCGGTAGAACCCAACAGTAAATATTACAATATTGGGAAGTATTACATTCCAAATATGTAAATGAGTTTTGAAAACATGTTTAACTGGTAATACTCGACCCCCAAATAAAAAATAAAATAAAATAAAAAATAGGCCAACTAAAAGCGATAGAAAGTTCTATCGTAATATACCGAATAAAAATATTTGTATAAAAGCCAAAAAATGTAAATTCCGTCTCTTCTATGGGATTTCTCTACTTAAATGCATAACGAATCGAATTCCTACCATAACTATAAAGTTAATTTTAAAACTATACAGTGGAGATTTGTGATGGGCGGAGAGTGGAATCGTTCAAATTTATTTTCGATCCTTTCCTCCTTCCAGAAATTAAACTGAAGGCTGCGCGTGTCTTTTTGACTTTTCCTTCTGTACCGAGGGGAAAATCGTACCTGGAGGGAATTTCGTGTCGGCGCAGTCCCACTAACGGCCGAGCGTCTCCCCCTTGTAAACAGGAAACGGCGTCAAAAGTTCAGAACGTTCACAGACGCCGACTGGCATACATGTACTACATAAGTGACGCTCAAAACAAACGCGCAGACACAAATTTTCACGATGGATCTCCTCTACATGAACGAAACGATCAACTACTATTCAGTCAGAGGGCCGATTTATAACAAATACGACAACTGGGGGCAAAATAATGCCAAAGGTAAACATTTTTATATCTATTTTCAAAACGATTCTTCTTTTTTTAACAGGACAACCCTTCGACAAAGCATTTTTTTAAATTAAAGTTATTCAGTAAACATAAAAATTCGACGGCGCGTTTAAATCCTGTAGACACGGCGTGTATGAACAAAACGACATGTATACATTTGAAAAAATATTATTTCCAACTTAATGCAGATCATGTAACAATAAAGGAAATTCAGTTACAAATTTCACACAAACACCAAACAAAAATTTGACGTTAAACTTTTGTTAATGCGAAATTTAAAGACAGCCTTAGATCTTTTACCCCAACATTTTCTCATTCCTGTATTCTTTTACATGTTCAGTTTTATTATACATCTATTTTTTTAAATAATTTTTTTATATGTTTAAACACTCGCTACTGTTTTTTTAAATAAATATAAATTGTATTGACAGCTCAACAAATTGCCAGATTTTGCCGGATTAGGTGAAACATTTTTTCCCTCAAGTTTACACGTGAAAGCTCATACCTCCCTTGAAAATCCACTAAATTTGGGAGAAGATATGATGATATCAAGGGACAATCCATACCGAAGCCACATTTGAAAAACAATATTTCCAATTCGATGCAGTAATCCAAAGGAATCCACAGTTATTCATTTCACACGAATACACTCAAAATTTGCTAGTTTATTTATTAATGTTTATTATAAAAATAAATTTATAAACACCTTCAGTTCTCATAAGACAGTCCTAGGGCTTTTACCTAACTTTTCTCATTTCTTTATTCTTTTCCATAATAGAAGTTTTATTATGTATCTATTTTTGGTTTGTTTTATAGATTTTTTTTATATGTAAACTCGCAATTTAAAAATATATATATAAATTTTATTGACAACTCAATAGTTTGCCAAGATTAGGTGAAACATTTTTTTCCTCAAATTTATACGTGAAAGCTGATTTGCGGTATCTCCCTTGAAAATCCACTTGAATTTGGGGGAAAGATGATTTGATATCAAGGGACAAGGACATCTTCTAAAGCGATTGAAACCATATAAAACAATAGACCTTTTAAAATTTTATAAAGAACAATTATTCTGAAAAATTAGTCATGTATGAACAACCTGTATTTGAAAAATAATATTTCCAATTCAATGCGGACAATGTGAAATTAAAGGAAATTCACAGTTATTAATTTCACACGAACATCACTGAAAATTTGACGTAAAACTTGCTAGCAAAAGATTTATAAACATCTTCAGTTCTCATAAGACAGCCCTAGATCATTTACCCTAACATTTTCTCATTTCGTTATTCCTTTCCATATTCGGAGTTTTGTTATGTATCTATTTTTGGTTTGTTTTATAGATTTTTTATATATACACTCGCAACTTTTTTTTAAAAGAAATGTAAATTTTAGTGACAACCCAACAATGAGCCAAGATTAGGTGAAACTTTTTTTCTTCAAATTTATTCGTGAAAGCTGATTTGAGGTGTCTCCCTTGAAAATCTCAAATTTGGGGAGAGGGAAATGAGTTGATGTCAAGGGACAATCAAGATTACGGCGTGTAAAGCAATTGAAACGATATAGAACAATAGACAAATTAAAATAAAGAATAAATAGTCTGCAAGAAAATTTATGTTTATCTATACTATTAAAAAAAACCAGACTGACCTAGTTTTAATCGTTTCTCGATTTTATTTTTAGACCTTACAAATGCTCCTTCCTTACTAATTGCCTCGTAATTACATACAGCAAATAGTGCATTAGACGTTAAATACTAACTGAATGTGACTAAAATAAACACCAAAATTTGCGTACATTTAAAATAAAACTAAATCATTCTTTAAGGCTGCACATCAAAACTCCTGACAAAAAGAGAATTTGGCGAAAAAAATTATCTTTCTTTAATTATAACAGAAATTTTAATCTTCTAGGGAATAGATTGGACTGCGCAACGAATACAAAACGAAAAAAGGTAAAATAAGCCAGGACGCCACTTATGAATAAGCCTTGGATTCCGAAGGAAAACGACCCGCATCGAGAACTGCGTATGACGCAGTTGATGGTTTCATAAACCAAAATAAATGTTTGACAAGGAGTAGACAAAACAGTTAGCGGGCGCGAGAACTCGTCTAGCCTGTTTTTTTGGTATCAACAATTCCGGCTTTCTATAATTTACAATTAAGGGCCGACAGGAAACAAAATAATTTCTGTTTCGGTAAGTCAATATCTAATTTGCCATCCGTGCACGTATGGAATTTTCAACAGAAAACGAAGCTAGATAGGAGCTTGAAAACTAGACAAATTTCATTAATTAATCTTTATGTAAGGTATTGGTTGAAATGAAAACGCTAGTGTCACGAGCGGGATTCGAACCCACGACCTTCGGCTAAATACGCCGCTGCTCTACCTCTTGAGCATCTACCAACTTCCCAGCATGGGTTCGAATCCCGCCGTTCGTGACGCTAGATTTTTCATTTCAACCAATTCCTTACATAAAGAATAATTAATTGAAATTATTTGGTCAATCGGACCACGAAATATAACGGACAAGACAGATTATTTACCCTTTGACCAAACGAGCAAACACTAAATATTCTCTTCTCCCCCCCCCCAAAAAAAAAGTGTAAAACTATCATCTTATAATTTTTGTACAAGGCCAGTGTTGGAAGTTAACTGAAAGGGTACATATATATAAAAAAAAACCTTGTATCAACCAAGTTTGGGCATCCTGTTTATATCTTTTTTAAATTGACTTAACAAATAAAATCATTAAAAATAATAGTTTTATATTTTCTTCTTTTTTGAGGTGGGTTGAGTAAGGAATTTAAAACTTCTTTCCTCCACTGCGACCTATAAATTATAACCACATCTTGGAAAGTGCACTTTTTCATATAAGACTAAGCACTATCATCGGTGCCTCTTAGTGCACCTCTTTTGGTGTGATAATTGCTTTGCTGAAGAGGACCGTAACCCGGCTAATGCTTCACATTCATAAAAGACGTGCTGATTCTAGTTCCTCCTGGTAGAGTCGGCACGTTCTGTCTCCACTTTGCCCATCTTCTTTAAGTGGTAATTAAGAGGGCAGTGGCCGGTATAGAGAGGCAGAGGTAATTATGCTCAAATCCTGCCTTCTGAAAGAGAGGAGTTCCTTCGCCTTTCTTTTTTGAAAGATTTATAACTTAACTTGCCTCATACCTGGTGCTTTTGCCCAGTGCTTGAATTGTTCTTTCTCAAGCCATTGTTCCAGTTACAAGTTGAGCAGGTTCCATGTTGTGGTTTTCGTTCCATGAGATAGAAAGATGTCCCGTATTTTTGGCTAGTTGGCTATTCATTTCCTTTTATATCTTCATGTCCGGGAAGATAATGTTTTCCTAGAGTCATTAGGCAATTTAGGCGCACCCAGACGAATTTGGAATTGAAAGCATACGCACTGAGTGTCTTTATAACTGCCCGTAAATCTGTGCATCTTTCATATTTTTCTTTTTAACTCCTTTGCACAGAGTTGCTTTGTATGAACCAGAGCTTAGAAAATTGTTGGGATTAGTCCAACGGGTTTTGCTAGGATAGAGATCGGCCATTTTATCCCTACATCATCTTCGATCTATGTGTGTACCATATTAGGGCCCCTTCTTGAAACTTAGTTGGGCTACCTTTCTTTCAAACCTTTCTATCAAAGTTAAGGTTTTTCTCTAATTTTGTCAAGAACCGTTATAGCCATCTCGTTTATTTTAACTCAACCAGATTCCTTTTAAATCAGGAGTCTATTGGCACTCTTAAAAGCAACCTCTACATATGTAAGGGTGGACGGTCGAGGGCGGTTTCCATCGCTGTTGTCGGGCATGTATGCATGGTCCCTGTTATATTAAGATACGCTAGACTTTGTAGAGCGTGTTCTTGTCTTCTTGTTCAGTTTTGTAGCCACTATACTAGAGCTCACTGTTGTGACCAGGGGTCTTTACGTTGTGGCGTATAATCAATACGCCATCGTGGGATTTATTACTCAGTTTTTGCTGCATAATCTCTGGCCAAAGCTTAGGAGAGCCTTGGCAGAATGTTGCCAATGTATTTTTCCGTCGTTTGGTCAAGTTGGTTATAGATTGGTTATGTTTCTTTGAAGAAAATTATAGTTTCCTATTTGAGAGTGCTTTTATGATAAGTACTAATTGCTAAATGTTAATTGTATTTATTGGAACGGGCTTGGAAAATCGTTGGAATTATACCAACGGGCTTTGCTAGGGTATAGTTCGGCCCTTTTACTTTTACTCATCTTCGATCCATCTTTGTACCCTTCCTGAAACTCGTGGCCACCTTTCTTCCGAAGGACTTTATTATCTATGACCACTTGGAATAGTTTTAGATTTATTATTATGTAATAAGTTTATTTTGACGATAGGTTTGAAGGATTCTCGAACTCTTGTAAACCAAAGCTGAATTAATTCAGAAATAATTTCTCTTTGTGTAAAATATGTAGTAATAATGAAAGTTAATATAATAATAATAATAATTTAAAAAATATATAACACATTCTTCAATGAAGACATAGCTAAAAACTCAGATGTCATCCGTGTAGATTTTAAAATTTGTTTAAAATCGGAACGTTTTATTCATTTATTTTTAATAAAGTTGACAGAAGGGAACCGCTGTGCTATTGTCGTACATTAAAACCTACGACGGATTCCCCGAGCCTAAATATAGAAGTTGATCTCCGCCTCGTAGGAAGTCGATCTGACGAGATGCCTGGTCCCGAGACTTTCTCTTGCATATTTTCGACTCGTAAAGGCATACAAAAGAGAATATCACTTTGCAGACGACACATCTGTTAGAATTTTGACAACGTTTGCATAATTTCACTAATTGCCTTTCGTGACGTTCGCGATGAATTTAAAACCGCTTTTGTACACAGTTCAATTTCTGTGATTTACAATTTACGAAAAACGTTTTCCAGTACTCAAGTGGAAAAGGGGACACCGGACTATTACTATTGTAATACAATTATTCATGCCAATTCTGTCAGTTCTGACAAATGAGAAATAGCAGGCTAGATAACTGACACGATAATCTCCTTCCCCACTCAAGTGATAGGCTAAAAGAGAAAAAAATGCATAACAAAAAATGCACTCTTCAAACCAGAGACGAAGCAGGAAAATTCCAAGTGAATTAATCGCTTTAAAAATACGTACATGAGACTTGTTAGTGTTATTCAAGTGCAAACAGCCGAGAGGGTACCCATATAAAAATACCTGTTATGTAATATTCAAAGCTAAAGCTATTTTCCTACCTTATCTCTGGATAAGGTAAAGGTATAATTGCTTTCATTATGCTGTCCATCTTGACAAAAAACAAAGTTCAAATTTAATTAAATCCTGTTATCGCGAAACTCAAAAGGAAATTTATGAATTTATACTTTTTTATATTTTGTTTGAACGTTGAATTAGCCGTAAAGTTTGATATGCAGTATTGTTGTTGTAAATGTTTCAACCTTCTATACAATTAGAACGTTTAACTGTTTCGGTCCACCCTTTCTGCGCGTTAATTTGGATTTGCGTCTTTTTTTTTGTTGTTTTGATATGGAGGAACGACGCACCACCACGAGGTGATGTCAATTTGGACATCCTCGGTCGGAAATGAAGGCCGAATTAGAAAACGATCAACGTATCACCGTCTGTCGTCGTTTCTTCTGAAGTAAGCTACCTCTTATAGAAATTAAGACATGAAATTTGAAAAATCCCAGTTAGGACAATAATTTTGACTTAAGACAATTTTCGGATAGACTTACGGCGAGGCCAGGCGGACCACTTTAGTGAGAAGACATCTCTAACCCATCACGAACGCCCTGAAGTATCTTCACGAAATACACCCAAAAAATTGGCAATTTGGAAATAAAGTTAATTTTTTTTTATTTGTTAACGTTGACTTCTAATTTGTAGGAAATTAAATTATACGCTGGGAAAAATTCAAACCAAGGCGTACAAAAAGGTAATAACTTTTTATTCAGTTAAAAATGTTTGAATAATTAATTTCTTCAAAACGGGGATATACGCATTTGTCAATTGGGAAACTGTTTGCCTTTAACAATACAAACAATTAAGACTATTATTCAAGAAGTAGTTTATCTATTTTGTGACATTTGTATTTCTCCATTTTTATTAAGCAATAAGTGGATGTTTTTAAGATGTCGCGCTTTTAAAATATGCAATAAAACGGCTTTGCCAAAGTTCAGGGTAATTTATTTCCAGAAAATTAAAACCTATTTCGCCAAGCTGACTTACAAACGTGTTTACTCTCCCAACGGTCCGTAAATTTTTATTTTTATTTTTATAAAACTTGAAACCGAGCAAGTCGACAACATCCAACAACGTAAAGTGTTTTCGACGATAAAAAATCTTCCTTTTTTTTAACCTTGAACAAAACATACCAACAGCATATAATCATTGCCCTGAATAATCTCCGTACCCCCTTCATGAAATGCAACTGAAGTTTATTTTTTTTTACATATAAAACTGAACATTACTATTCGTGAGATTTCCTCGTGTGGTCTGAGGATTGATGAATTTGATCCATACCCATATCTTGGTCGCCTTACGTTAGAAGTATTCCAACTTATCGTCATCTTCAGTGCTGGGTCTTGTAACTTTTACCATTCGCGATCTTTAATGATTTTTTCGAAATGTGAAGCAATGACACTGAAGATGGCGAAATGGCGAATAGTGTCTGAAAGACCAGCCCCAGCGATGGTAGGCAAACCAAGATGATCGGTAAGGATTAAATTAGACTAAATAACATTTATTCGCAAAACAATTTTAATCTTACTGTTATTAGATTTAAAATGGTTTGAATTATGTACAAAACTCGAACATTAGTCATGGCTGACAGATGCTGCATCATTGTTTATAACCGCCAATTCGTTTACCAGTTTTCCAGTCGAGGGTTACGTCCAAAATTGACCAAAGTGAACCAAAGATTTAAATTTTTTTTTACAAACTTATGACCATGGTTCAAAGAGGTATTTAGGCGGCTTCCCAAATTTTTTGGGATTAACAAATACTTTTGCAATGGTTATTTACAACACACCCTCCACTTTCACTTTTTCATGACAAAATAATATCAACACAAGTGTAAATCGAAGTTTGTTGAAAGTGTAATGCAAACGTTATAAATAATATTTTTTTTAAATACCACCTAAAAATTGCCCAATTTATAATATTTTCATATATTTGTTATCTGGCCAGTGAGTTCTTCCGTGATAATTATAAAATAAAATCAAGTTGTTGTTTTTTTTGGAAATTTTCCAGGTCAAGAAGCACCACGTTCTGGGCAACAATTTCCTTTTACAATCGACTGATTTAACTTGCATTTATTAAACGAACATTGTATAATGTATCTAGAAGAAGAAAATAAATTCGATTCTAGGGCTTTGGGCCCCCCTTGAATAACAAACAAGTATAAAATTTGGCACCATTCGAGTCAAAATGAATATATAAATAAAGATTTAAATATAATATAAAAATAAATGAAACGTAATAAATTAAATAAGAAGGGGAAAAATTAACCATCCTCAGTGTTAACTTGAAGGGAAAAGAGGTAGTCAAAAAGACGAGACTTATGTTGGGAAGGAGTGAGGCAAAGCGAATGGAGTTAAGTAGGGAATTCCAGAAGATGTAGGAACGGATAAGGAAGAAGGGACTAGAAGAGATAGATTTGTATGATAAGGTATAAAAGAAGGGCAGTGGCGAGTGTGTACAGAAGACCTGTAGACCATCCCTAATCAGATTATAAATAAAGGAAGGGGAATGGGAAGATATTATTTGAGAGAAAAAGGAGCAAAGAAAGTATAACCTGCGATAGGAGGGGTACAGCCATTTCAAACCATGACCATCACACAGGAGATCTCTTTTTGGGAGCTAAATATGAACCGAAGGAAGCAGTTCATGATTCTCTTGAGTCCGTTAATAAGCTCGCTGGTGAGTCCACCAAAGACCAAAGAGCTATAATCGAAACGGGGAAGCACAAGGGAGGGAGGGGTCCAGAAGTTTTGAGGGTAGTGATTTCAAAAAATTGGCTTGTACGACAGAATTGGCGGAAGATGGAGAAACAGTAGCGGGAGATTGGAAATGTGAGGGTTTCGAAGATAGGATTTGATCAAAGGCGATCCCTGTTTTTGACAGATGGAAAAAAGGAGATCGGAGGTAAGAATGGGAACCAAACACTATAGCCTGGGACTTACTGATATGAGAAAGAATCATTTTCAACGGCTCAGGAACTCTTTCAACGTCCCTAGTTTTGGAAGTAATCCGCGTAGAAGTGATAAGTGCAATATATAAGGATATTAGGAATATTAATATAAAAACAAAACATTTAGAAAAATAAAATATGGGCTCGTCTGGGATGCAGTCTATTTGCGAACGGGCTGACAGGAAGGAATGCAACCGTGCAACCACAAAGAACACTGTAGAAGTAGGAAAGGGATTGTAGGAATTTATAAATATATGGGATATATATAATACTCAAGGGATGCAATAAACTTGAAGACACGCCTATGATCAGTCAGCATAATCGATCCGCATGAATCACATCTACGATGTAAGGGTTGTCAAATGAAACAAAAGCAATTTCCTGCCGTGGGGTTTCAATAAGGGTCTTAATCGATCCGTTCATTAGCAGGGATATGATGTTGTCTACGGACAATGCTGTGATAAATTAATTGATGCATCTGCTTCTAGAAAATTCCCCAAAGTTAAAATTTTATCCCAAAAAATGCGCTTCTTCGGCAGATTTTCATTGCGTCTTTCGGCAGTAATCACCTTGAAAGATAACTGAATAGCTTTCAATGCATAAAAATAAAATGTGTTTCCTAACTGCCAACAGTTCCTGGCATGCAATACAACCTTGAAATATATCAAAACTGATAGCAACGATCATAACGAGGAGGAAAATTGGTTGAGATTGGTTTTCGTCTGATAACGACTCATGTTAATAAAACAGAATTACTCTAACTTAAATATCTTTTCAGTTCAAGTGTACCATCATACTCGTCCGATAGTTCACAAGAGTATTACATAAACACTTAACACATTTATGCGAATTTCTCTTTTTAACACGGACATTTTTATAAAATAATAGCATATTTTTTTCGAAAAATAATGTTAAAAACGCCCAGGACCATATTGTCGAGTAATTAAGATAAAGGTGTTAATTCTTATTTAGTAAAAGCCAGAGCTTACGCAATAGGCCCACCTTCTTCCACACTTCTTGTTACTTGATTGTAGATTTCTCTGTTGCTAAATTAGAACGTAAGAAAAATTCTTTTTGCACCATTAAAAAAAAAAAAAAAAAAAAAAACAGGTTGCGGTAGGTCAATGCTTGTTCGTAACAAACGAAATGTTTGTTGTTTTGTTTGTTTTTTTATTAGAAAAGTCCAACACCCAAGGGCATTCTGCGGTAGAAAGCGGTCTATCATCCTGACCACCGCGGTCGGAATGGCCAAAACATCTTACGTAAATAATACAGCGATAACATCCAAGAATGCTGAGGGATAAACTAGTTGAAACCGAATGCCAAATAGAGGAGGAAGTTCGGAAAGCGTAGAATTACTTATTTCCGACAAGCAGAAAAATCACGATTACTACACCATGAAGAAGAAAGTTTAAAAATATCGAATGATATAACAGCCAACTAAATTTTCATTCTGTCTCAGTTTCATACTTTACGGTTCGTTGATCTGTCTACTTGACAAGTAAAAGTTACCAATTAAGTACTAAATAATGTATGGCTCTCTAGATTGAGGGCAAATTATACGTGGTGGTAAGTCCGTCTTTTGTTACTTAATCTTTAACTTGAATATAGTCTCTAACTCATTATTTCAGCTAGAGCAAAAAAAAAAAAAAAAAAAAAAGCCACGCGATTATTTTCCCTAATGAATCCGGTCATAGGCTTGGGTTTCAGGCCTTAGGTTTGGTGAGGAAAATCGCTCACGAATTTCACGATGTACTACTTGAGTAATTTTTAAAGAAAAACGCTTATTCGCCAAAGCAAGGGTTATACCGAAGTTAAGCAAGAGGAATTTGTTGTTTGATAGATCTCTTTGTCTGCCTATCCTCGCTGATTTTCAATGGTTCTGACCCGTTTCGGCATTTCGGCATCTTCAGTATTTGGGTCTGGAAAAAGACGGAAGATCGAAAAGAAGAAGCTGTTGATATGTAACTATGAAACAATAGGTTTATCACCCTGTAGATCACAAGAGGAATTTGGTTTTCTTTGCTTCAAAAATTTCACTTTTCTTATATGAAGACCCTTCAGAAACTGATTCTATATACAAAACAGAAGATACGTGTTCGGTGGGAGGATTGTGCTTGGCATGGGAAAAAAGCATATGGCAGTGAATAAAAATGTATATTTAAATCCTTCATTATAATGCAAGGCATCACATTTCGGTGACGGGGCAGAAATTATTGCGTACCGGTGCGTTCAGGCCAAGCAAAAATTATTTGCACCATACGCATTTAATTTGAGATTTCTTATCGAGGTCTGCGGGGTTATGTAGATTGGTCATTTCCGGTCATTTTGCTCGGACTGTCCACGCAGTTTTGGCGAGATAGCTTAGGCCTGAATAGAATTTTCTTAACCTGCTATTGCCTAAACCCACAGCTGAAGACGGTAAAAAACAAATCGGGTCTGACTGCCCAAAACAAGAGGACAAACTAAAATTGCCGGAGACGGTTAGATATTGCAGGGCAATAGAAACTAAGTTTGATTTAGGCATATTTAAAGGCATTTTCAAAAAAGAGCGATAGGATAAATCTCCATTGAGCCGTTGCTTCGCATTCGAAGATGATATGGTGGCTGTTTCCTCTTCCTCCTCATTGCATAATCTGCAGATGGGATCATCGTTATATATGCCCGTGATGTGTACATGTTTTCTCATATGCCAATGACAGGTTAGTAGTCGAATCACTCCTCTGAGTTTAGTCCCTCCAGCAGCAGTGAGTTTCCAGTCTTGGTGAGGGTTGTTTTAACATACGATTAGTGTGTCTAGCGCAGCTAGAGTTTATCGACTTCTCCTTGTTTTATTTGGATCCATTCTGTATTTGTTTTTGTTATCACAAGTGTAGGTTCGGGGCCTATGTATTGTCTTACTTTTCCTCCTCTGGCCAGTGTGTCTGCTTTTTCGTTACCCAAAATTCCTTTATGTCCTGGCACCCAAGATATCATCATGTT